CAGGGCACGCGGGCTGCAAAGGGCGGCTCGAGCTACCGCGTTCTGCGCGTGACAAAGGAAAGAGCTGGTCCTGGAATACGCCTCGGAAGGCATAAACACTTCCATGTTTGCTGAAATAAACTTCGATTACAAAGTGTATATATTTTTCTTCTCCAGTTACACAAACCTCGTTAAAAACACAGTGAGATAAACTCATAAATCAAAGATGCAAACGCTTAAGCTGAAATTCAGCTATAAAGCAGAGTACTCGGGACTACAAAGTAACTTCCGCCACTTACAGCCCACCGTTAATTCCCCGCAATTAGCGGAAGGCGGGTGGCGGGTACCCCCAGGCTGGGGGGGCCGTGCGGAGTTTGGGAGCAGAGCTCTCCCCACTGCTCCCGCTCGCAGCCAGGCTCCAGCCGGGAGCCCTCAGTCAGGAGCCGACCCGGGGCTGGGGGCTGGGTTTTTCCCGATTCATCACGAATTAAGGAGCGGCATAGTCTAGGTTCTGTTTACTGGGGCATGAGCAACAGCCTGCCTCTGTTCTGACGCTTTTCAACTATAAGAGGATACATAATAAAAACTTCTGCCTAGCAAAATTAATCTAAGGTTGTAAGAGGGATCAAATTGTATGCATGTGATCTAAAGTATTCAAATAAGTAAAATTTTGTTATCATAAAGGCTTTAGATCGCACTGATGCATCCAAAAAAAGAAAGATAAACTCAGTATCGGACGAACCACAAGTGGTTGACGCTGGAAACTTAGACAGAGCGGGAGTTAACGCAATATATAGGCTACCGGCAACTCATTCAAATTCTTTTACTGGGGTTTCTAGATCCTGCCATGGACCAAGACAGACCAGGCTTCAAGCTAGGGAAACTAGTAAACGTTTTGGTTTGTTTTGTTGTTTAGGGTTTTTTAATTTATTCTTAACTTAGAACCAACAGTATAGAGATGTCATCTCTCTCATCCATTTTATAAATGTGACTTAATTGTCAGAGATTTCCATTAAACTTCCTAGAGAGCAGCGAGAGCTGTCTGGTGAGGATGAGGAAGCAGAAGCTGAAAGCATGCTGCCTTATGAACCGGTCTCCTTCCTCAGCCGTTTGCTGCAGTTTTTCAATAAGTTGAATTAAAATGCTGCAAACAGCTGTCACAGGTGGACACAGTTAGGTCAGGGGTTGGAACTAGATGATCTTTGAGGTCCCTTCCAACGCAAACCATTCTGCCATTCTATGAAATGTTTGAGGAACACTGACCTTTAACAAGTCATGCAGCTACAGCGGAACCAGGGTAGAGGAAGCAGTACCTCTACCTGCCAAAATAACCGATGTGCATCGGTCAATATCCTGTCTCAGCCTTAACACATAGCTGATAAAAACCTGAAAAGGTGAAACCCTGAATGTTTGACTATACAGGAATCTGCTTTTGCCTTGTAAAAACAAGTTAATAGAATTAGATGAATTAAAAGAAAAAAAAATAAAAATCTATGGGGGCCCAGGCAGAAGCACAGGGTATTTCTGTTTTGCAGGAATTGTATTATCAGCCAGTTCTCTTATTTCCCCAGTTCTGATTAATTTGCAACAACGCTACACAATGTACCATAATAAACCCAAAAAGCACCTAATTCATCTAAACAAATATGTGGGCCGAGAGAGGATTTTGTCCCTTCTGGTTTGATTCTCAGCTTCACAAAATCTCAAGTCTTTAACGTCCTGAGGAATTACTCTTTGAGCAGAAGTGAAATGAATTATGCGTCGATGAACAATTGGGTTATCAAGGTTGTTCACTTAATGTTCCAGCTGTTCTATAGCACCATCTTAACGTTTATTGGAGATTTCTTTTGAATTTAGTCTTATTCCATGGTACTTACAAATAAATACATTGCGTTTCTTACAGCTGCTGTGCCAGTTAATAGCAAACACAAGTACATAATGAATTTCTTGCCTTTTACCGCTAGAACTAGAAATGACAGAGGGTGGAGGCTTCATTCAAAGGAGATCCATTAAGGTAATAATAGTGAAGTCAGAGATTAAAGCTGATAGGATTTGCGGGGAGTTTTGTACAGCACTTAGCTGCATTAACACTGTTGTTTGCTCCTTGCCCTCCTAAGTGCTAAAACTTAGATGTACTCAGAAACCAACAAACACAGCACTGGCCACTGCTTCTTCACCCTTTTCCAGCTGTCCTGCAGGCAGATGGACATCAACTGATTCCGGAAGAGACACCAGACTGGAACGCTGTAGAGCTGGTGCTCAGCAGGGAGGCTATATTTCACTGCAACATGCATGACCTGGATTTTGGTAAGTACAGAGTTTTATTCATCGTGGTTTCTCGCCAAAAGCACTTACATTTTGAAATGAGCACTTCCTAAGGCATAAACAGTCTGAGTTCTGTTAACATTAACACTTTGAAGCTCTGCACTCCTTTATATTTGAAGCAGTTTGGAGGCACAGTCGGGAAAAGAGGATGGTTTGGGAGTTAGGGCCGTGCTTGGGAGAGCACTGTTCGGGGCCTTCCCGCGTGTGCCAACACACAATCACACAAAAACCTGCCAGGTTTCAGTCCACAGAGGTATTAGGACAGGCGAGGAAAGGAGTTCTCAAGTTTTCTCATCTCCTGTGCAAGTGGCTTCCAGAGGAAGGCTGACAGGCACTGCCGCTCACCTCCCCAATTTTCAACAGCCTCTCTGGGGCTGGGGACAGGAGTTGGGGAGCAAAAGCAGAAAACTGAGCAAGGATAATGGCATTTCCAGCACCACAGCTCGCTTGGTTTCACCTTCCTCAGGGAAGGCAGACAGGCCAAGAACCGGGAGGTTCCAGTTGGAAATTTCTTCCAACAAAATACCCCATCTTAGCCCTACGCTAGACAGTGAAGTAGCGGCTAATAGGGCATGCTACTGTCT